TTGGGCTATTTTTGGTGATCACTTGGTAATACATTAATTGAATACAATATATTAAAGCAATAGCTATATGTTTGGGTCTTTTTGCATCCTGCCCTGGAATTTTCCTCATTTTTATTTCCCTGTCAATGAAAATAAAGACCACTCTAATGTTTTCATGGTGGTGATTGTGTGGTCAGGGTGATGTGCGCTTTTAGTTCAATCCAGAGACCATGTATAGGCCATGTATAGGCCTCTTGTAATTATCAAATTAAAGCATCTATGGTAAAATTACCTCTTTGGTGTAATTTAAACTTCAAAAGAGAACATTTCCATAAATATTTATTATGCCAACTTAAATGTTTTAAATGATATTGCAGAGACTTTCTAAAACCATTTTTCCCCAGCTTTATTCTCATCTAAATAGAAATCGATCAAATATTTTACGGATAATAGGTCATGCAAAAATTCTAAGAAAAATAAGCATAACAAATGTGCCATAAGTAAATCCCCTACTTTATCAACCAGATACAGCTTGGCTTCAAATGTTGTCCAACAATAACTCACTTTTTTATGACTCACTCCGAATCCTCATCGTCACATGGTGTTCAAAAATCAGTTTCTAGGAATTTACAGCATTTTTAGTTTTCATTTCATCATTTTAATACATAATTTGTTCTTACCTCATCACAGGTGAGGAAATCATGCCGATGCAAAAAGAAAACAAAATCTGAACTGCCATCCCAGTGCTTGGAACACTGCAAGAAGAAAAAGGGGCAACGGAGACGTAAAAAAGCCAAGAAGAGTCCAAATCCTGGCAAATGAGGATCTTTTTGACATAATTATTCAGAGCAGCAAAACCTGTGCTGTTTTTTTGTAAAGCCACTGTCACTGCAAAAAAGGGTATGGAAAGACTGGGAATTTTTTTTTACTTTACATCTCTGGTTTGCATAAAGGTAGGAAACTATGGTATGATGATCAAAAACAAACACATTTTACTCACAAGTAATAATCATTAGCTGCGTTCTTGTTTTACTTTGTGTAAAAATGAGTCATTTTTACCTGTTTATTGGCTAAAATAACAGGTAAACAAAGCATCTGTTTTTAGTTTATTTTTGGTTGTTTTGTGTGCAGTGGGTTTGTTTGGGGTGTGGTTTCTTTGGTCGGCCACATGTTGTTTTCATTTTTTGTAAAAAGTTAAATTGATTTCACTTTTCAATATTTTTTTTGCTTAACTCTTCCTAAAACGGAAACATGTTAATTAAAGAGGTAAAATATCAAAGCTGATGGTGAAACACTAACCTCTGTTGTTTCTCTCTCCAAGCGGGCACAGGACTGCATCATTGTAGAATTGAAGGGGGGTTGCTCAGTTGGCAGTTAGCAAACTAATTAAAGTGCATTACTGCCTCCAACTGATAAGGAGTCAAGCAAGGAAACATGAAACAAGACTCCCCAGAAAAATTCGAATTAAAAAGAAAAATTTGAAAAAAAATAATAGGTTTCCAAACTGTATGTTTTAACCCAACATAATGAAAAACATAATCAAATTTGTCCTCATAATTACTAATTTGCCTTTATGCTTATGTCACTCTGCCAGTTTCTGACGGTCCTACTCATTTTCCCATTATACTTTCAACCGCTTTCCAGTTTAAATCTCTCACTTCAAGGTGTTTTTCTGCAGCTTTAGCTATTATTTTTGATGTTTTCGGTTTTCTTTGTCGTCTGAGCACTACAATTGATCACTTCTACCATAAAAAGTACAAAATCCCTCTTTTTAACAATCAATGAATCTTCTGCAGTTTTGGGGCACTCCTCCAGAGGTTTTGCATATTTCATTTGTGCCACTGCTGATTTCGGTCTTTCTGACTGGGATGAGATTCTTTTTGTAGCTTCAGCATAACTTAAAGGAATAGTACACCCAAAACATGATTAACCTTCATTTTCTACTCACCCCCA